ATTGATATTCTTATTTATATTATTTATAATATGTTTGAAATTATTAATAATAATAATAATACTTTTGTTCAGGCAGATTAAAACCCAGTCTTTGTGATTTTTTTTTAATTTCAGTCTTGTCTGACTATGTCTAGGATATGAAGTCATTGGAAAGCCATCTTCTGTGCTTTAAGAAAAGATGCACACATAGTCGAACATTTAATTTGCCAAAACACGAGGAAATCTCTTTCAAACAGTCTTAACTCTCATTCAAACTGCTTAGTTTCACACAGAAAATCATAAGGGACAGTCTGTTTCTCTCTTACAGTATACATGCCGTCTTAGTTAATATGGAAGTCTTGTTTGATAAGGTGACCTTTTTGCTGTGTACAAAAGAATCTTCTTCCATGAAGATTGCTTTATAGTAGTCCTACCTTAAATACTGAAGAGATATTTTTGTTTAGTGTTCACTGTATCTTTAAATCGTAATATAAAATACTGTCATACTGCAGGCATTTTGAGTTGTTTAGCTGCATTTATTGCAGATTTCCATTAATGAGTACTTTATGCAGCAGCAAGCCCACATAATAATGGTGTCATTATTACTAGCAAGTAGAATGGCCTTTATCTTCAAAGATTTCTAGCTATTCTTCTTTCTTGATCCACAATATTTACAGCAGGTTACTCGGGCTTGATTTTTCGGCCTTACGTTCTTCATTGTCAACTTACCCTTTTGTAGAAATGTGCCTCCTGGCAGAAGCGGGGCTTTGTTCAGTGTCATTTTCTTGGTCTTGAGACATACAAGTGAGGAGTTCCACAATTTCAACAGAACATGTAATTAAGTCCTTTTTTTTCATCACATCAGAGTAATTGAAACCAGATCAGATAAAACACATGTAGCCAAGTATCTCATCTCTAGCAGTGACTGAAAGTAAGTGCATAAGACAAGGAACAGCAAGACAGACATGTAGGAAACTTCTTCCTAGCTATTCATCTAATAGCCAACTCTGAGTCCGAGATGTGCTGTTTGGGGTTTTTTTCCTAAATATGTTGCCTGACACGTTAAGTAACTGCATTGTGTTCTTTTGAGGATGGTGAATGGGATTTGGCCAGTACCATTTATGATTTTGTAGTTCTCTGTGTTACTGCCTCTTCAGTTTTCTTTATCTTTGGTTGAAGAACTGTTAAACTTCTTGGTTTTCCTTTGGTAGCCATTTCATGCTTCCAGTTGCCTCTTTTGCTCTGCTCTGTTACTTTGGAATTACTTTACTCATACACCTCATGTGACACAGAAGGTGTCTAAATTCAGTCAGCTAAACTGAGCTTTTTGCACACAGGTCAAAGAAATTTCTGAGTAATTTCTGTATGGAGAGACTCTTTGCTGTTTGAGACAAATAGCAACTTACTACGAAAATATATTCAAAGTTGTAGGAGAAAAGATTTGCTTTTGTCTTGATAAGTGACTTTTTAGTTGTTCTCTTTAGGGCAACTTCCCTTTTTTTTCCTCTCTGAGAAACTAATTTCTGTAGCAACTAGTTCCAGTCATTACTCTGTTTTCTGGGAACCACTGCAAAGTCAGCCAGCTTAAATGTACTTCCAGGTTGCTAAATCCTGCACTAAAAGCTGGGTAGGTGAATGGGGAGCTGTCTGCTTCCTCTCTACTTCTCATTCCCTGTCCTTGGTGATTCTTATTCATGAGTAATTGTGTTTTGAAATTTCTTTGTTAAGTAAAAATACAAATGTCTTGTAAGATTTAGAATACTCTTCAAAATCTGGAGAGCAACTAGCACTGATTAAAAACTAAAAATCCAACAATGAAGTGCGTGCTCTGGGTTCTTATCTGCTGTATGTTACCACAGTATATTTGCAGTGTTGCTTTCAAACCTCCTAGAGTTTAGATGTGTTTTAGTTTTCATTTCCTTTCAGACATTTAGTTACTGCTTAAATTTCTGCTGCATTAAAAAACAACCAGAGGATGTTTTAATCTCAGTTTTGTTACCCGTCTCTTGTTTATTACAGTTTAAGCACCCTTGGGACAATCGGAATTGCTCATTAACAAGGAATTATTTTCTATATTTAAACAGTTGATTATGGAACTATTGGTGTGAATTAACAAGAAATAGTACTTGTGCTAATTTAGAAACAGTTTAGAGAAAGAAATCCGAAGAGTTGAAACAGCAACAGGAGGACTTTTTCGTGTATGTGAGAGAGAATGGACGAATGAATTCCTACAAGTCATGTACCCAGTGCAGATCATTGTGGCTTGTCCACAGGCAAAGTATTCAATGTTCAGAGAAAGCAGTAGTTTACAAACTAGTCCTGTGCAGGCCTTCAGTATTAAATCATAAGGAAGTATATGCCACTAAAACCAAATGTTTTAACTGCTTGGAAGTAAGAGTGGCTATGACAAGCAAGCAGAGATTGTCATGGCTCTATTCAAAAATATTCACAGCCTTTCAACGCTCAAGGAAAACAATTCTCAAGTTTATCTGGTGAAAGACTAATAGAAGTGTTTATTCACATAATGCCTAAAATACAGAAGTTATCTTATTCTTGTGAGTTTCTTGTTGCTGATCTTTGAATCAGTGATGTAGATTCAGCTCAGATACATTAGGTGCCAGAGGCTGGTTCTATGGGTACAATTTTTACAGTTGTCAAATTACTTGCAATTTTGAGATATTTGGATGTGTTCAACTCTCATAGCCGGGGTAGTTTTGTTCTCTTATTGTGTTTGGCCAGCTTTTCTGAAATGCAGATTTAGAGCAGTGCAACGAAATGCATTTTAACCATTTTGTTTTTTCTGTGCAAGTTACCCTCTGTTCTATTCTCTGCAAATTTTCCAATTTTACGGTACTGTTACTGTATTTGTTTAAGCTGCTCCTAAAAGTAATATGTTCTCCCTAAATAATTAAATTCTCGTTTTGAACAGCATCTTTTGTCCTCAAGAAAATACAGAAGAAGCCTTACTGTTGCTGCTTATTAGTGAATCTATGGTAGGTAAAATAGAGTAAACATGCGTGTGCTATATGTGTGTGGGGTTTGTGGGGTTTCGTTTTTTGGGGGTTTTTTTAAGGAAAATAGAACTTTTGTTGTCATGCCTTCCTTTATTTTCTGTTAGGAAACAGGCAGTTACTTCTGAAACTCAAGCTTCTGTTCCTCTGAGCCAGCAAGATGAGGTCTGCAAATCTTATGAATAGGAGGTTTTCTCCTTTAGAGTGGCTGAATATAGGCAGGTGAACTCAAAGCCAGGTCTTTAATTTGGCTTTTCAGTATGAACCACTGTTACACCAGCTGGTTGCCATTGAGACAGACTCAAAATGTAAGTTATTTTTCTTGTAAAAAGTCGAATCAAATCAAAGGTCGTAATAAACAGCCAAAAAGTATTTTCCATTTTGCATTAAACCTCAGATGTCACTCAAATTTTTTTTAATGATGCTGCATTCAGCCTTTGCTACAGGATTATTTTTTATAATGTCCTCATTTCTTCAATAAGTGATTTCTTTCAGTGGCCTGCTTGTGCCTTTTATCAGCCTTCCATATTTTCCTCTAGTATGATTTTACCAGTCACCTGTCAACTGCCAGCTACTGACATTCTCGTTCCAGGTCAGTTACGTGTTCTCAGAAATGAAAAGCTGAAGCTGGAATTTTTCCTGTTTTTCTCTCTGGAGGGGTGGAACCTCTAGCATCTGAGGCATCATGTTGTAGTTTGTCTCACTGCACATCAGTGAGACTTAGTCTCTTAAGTTCTATAGGTGATGCAAGTGCTTCCATGCTCTGCCATAATTTCTGTTTTGATACGGTTAATTAGGGTTAGAATATTTTAGTGAACGGTGTCCTATTTGAACCATTTTAAAGTGGAAAACATTTACATTGTAGTGTGAACTACTGTCCTCCTTCCTAGCGATCTGCCTTGCAATGTTAATGATGGAATCTGTCACCAGAAGGCTCGGCTGAGCAAACACTTCCATATATCGTGTTGGTTTTACTGCAGTATATGCTTACTGCTGAAAGGGGCCACCTGTGCCTCTGTAAAGTGCCCGAGCAGCTCGTGGAGATATATAGAATTCTGATGTGAACTGTGGTTGTGGTGTGGAGTGGAAGCAGTCCCAGTTCTGCAGGATCTGACTGTATTTAATCGTAGAATGGCCTAAGCTGGAAGGGAACTTAGAGATCATTTTGATCCAGCCTCCCTGCCGCCAGGGACACCACCTGTCGACTAAGTCGCGCAACACATGGAGACCGAACAGGAATCGGACCCACGACCTGGGCATTGTTAGCACCACGCTCAACATGTGTACTTCCTTGCGTATCAGCATTACGAAGTCAAAAAACAGAATTACGGCCCTGTTAAGTCTCATTTCAGGTTACTTACAGCTTTTCCTTTGCAAATTAGGTCTGCCTCATTATATCAAATGCTTGTCACTAGACAAGCACCCTTTTTTTTCTTTTCAAGTAATTATTGCAGGTCATCTGAAACAAAAGAGTTTGTTTTGGGGGAGTAGAACATCTTTCACATGATTGAGTTACTTTGACGAAGTCATAAGTTCAGATTATTTTTGGAGGGTGAAAGAGGAAGATTGAGCATAAAAATATTAATTACTACAAACTTTATGATAGTGGAGAGCTGGTACTTAAGCATGATGACTTTTTCTAGCTGTAGTACTAACAAAGTAGTGTGTGATTTATGATTTTGAAAGCAGTGTTTGTGAAGGAAATAAAACGGTTATAATTGATGGAGTATTTTGAGATGGTATTTTTTTATTTAAGTAGTAGAGTCCCTTCCTTGGATTGCCTGTGAATTACTAAAAACACTAAAAACACAGATAAGGTGTCAAGACTTGTGTCTGTCAAGAACTTATTTGAGTAAATACTGGAAAACAGAATGAGGACCTGACATACAAAAGTAGCATTTAGTATAAGTAAAAGTAGTCAAATCACTGTGTACGTATAAGCCCTAAATCATGCTTCTAGCTTCAGGGATGTGGTGCACATCATAACTACTTACTTGGATTAGATCTAGTGCAATATATCCAGAAAATTGAATCTTACTAGTTGATAACAAATGCTACTTTCCTGTTGCCTCGAGTTCCCTTAATTTTCAAATTCGAAAAGGATCATCGGAATAAGATTTAAATTGTAATATTTATGAAAGAAATGCTCTGGGAAAGATAATTCTCTGCTTTTCAAGTGTTCTAATTCTCTTATAGGTACATTTCAGAGTACAAAAGGTCTCTTTTGGCTACATGACTGCTACTACAGTGTATTGTCATTCCTAATGAGGAAATTCAGCTGCAGCTTTGCCATTCCTCTTACTGTAAGACACCCCTGTATTCTAGTTGTTACACTTGAGAGGTATACACCAGCCTTCCCTTACCTAGGCAGAATGAGTAGAAAGGAGATGTCTGAAGGACTGACAACTTCTCATTACAGTGCCTGGACATGCTGCTGCATGTCAGCTGAGCTGTAGTAACAGAATCACAGAATGGTTGAGATTGGAAAGCACTCCTGGAGATTGTTTTGCCCAACCCCTCTGCTCAAACAGGGCCACCTGGAACAGGCTGCATCTGTGTCCAGACATTTTTTAATATCTCCAAGGAGGGAGACTCCACTAATTCCATGGGCAATTTGTGCCAATGCTCAGTCACAAACAGTAGTTAAAAAAAAAAAAAAAGTGTAGAGGGAACCCTGTAACCCTGTGTGTTTTAATTTGTGCCCATTACCTCCGGTCCCATCAGTGGGTACCACTGAAAAAAGCCTGGCTCCATCTTCTTTGTACCCTCCCTTCAGGTATTTGTGCACACTGATAAGGTTTTCCTCCAAGCATTCTGTTCTTCAGGCTGAAGAATCCCAGCTCGCTCTACAGAAGAGGTACTCCAGTCCCTTATTGATCCTAGTGGTGATTTGTGGGACTGTCTTCAGTAGCTCCATATCTGTCCTGGGCAGCTCAGAATTGCACCCAGTACTGCAGATCTGGCCTCATCAGCGCTAAATAGAAGGAAAGGATTGCCTTCCTTGACCTGCTGCCAACACTCCTGGTCGTGCAGCCCTGGATACCACTAGCCTTCTTCCCAGCAAGGGCACATTGCTCTCTGCTGTTCAACTGGCTGTTCACCAGGGCCCTCGGTTCCTTTTCTGCTGAGCTGCTTTCCAGCTGGGTGGCCCCCAGCAGGTACTGATGGGTGCCTGGGATTGTCCCTTCCCAAGTGCAGGACTTTGCACTTTCAAGTCTTTGTTGAAGACTTTGAGGTCTCTGTCAGCTCATTCCTCCAGTCTATTGAGGTCCCTCTGGATGGCAGCACAGCCTTTTGGCAGACCAGTTCCTCCTCCTAGTTCTGTATCATCAGCAAACTTACCTTATCGTTCAGATCATTAATGAAGTTTTTGAACAGGATCAGGCCCAATAGCATTCTCTGGGGTACACTGCAGTTACTGGCCCCCAGCTAGACTTCATAGAATTGTAGAAGTTTAGAATAGTTTGGGTTGGAAGGAGCCTCCAAAGATCAGCTACTCCAAGACCCTTGCAATGAGGAGGGCGACCTTCAACTAGATAAAGTTTCTCAGAGCACAATCCAGCCTGACCTCGAGTGTTTCTGGGGATGGGGACTATTCGTTTCACTGATCAGCACATCCATTCCTACACTTTGTAACGAAGTTCCACTGCTCACATTTGCCTCAGGCATAAAGTGTGTGTAGGGTAAGCTTGGCCAGCTGGCACATTGTGGCTTAACTAATTGTCACTTTATTGTGTTTGAGACCATTGCAGTTCTGAAACACTGAGCACCTCAGTCTGTATGTATGTTGTTTTATAACTGTGCAGAAAATGATTGTTCAAATATATAACATATCCTTAATAGTTACAGGGCATCCTGTCCTATAACTCTGCATTGTCAGCCATTTTTTAGTTCTTAGCTTGTTCTGTACTTGAAAGGAATTGAGTCAAATGGTGATTAAATGTGGAGCTGAAAAAGGAAAAAGTTCTTGAAGCTGACGAAATATTTATGCTGTGGAGAAAGGAAAAGCCTAAGACTTCTTGATCAAAAGAAAGCAAAATATCTGTTTTGGGGTGTGGGTGCGGGGGTGTGTGTTTTCAAACCAAGCTGTGGATTATTAAGTTGATAATTCCTGAAATGTCTGTGCCTTTTAGACTCCATATATCTCTTGTATCTCTTTGAAAATTTCCTTCAGTACTTAATTATTCTGATTTCAAAGATGTATTGAGTATATTCAGAGCTTAAAATTTTATCCTGTTACAAGCAGAAAAACAATTTATTATCCCTTAATATGTGTCATTCGTTGCCTCTGAAAAGGGGGAAATAAGCTGCCTATTAAAATTCAATGTATTTGAGTAAATGTATTAAGGGGGCTATGCCTTTTGTAATTAAAAGGAGGATGGAGGAGAGAGAGGGACCTCCAACTTCTGTCTTCAGATTACCAGACATACTATCGTTTGTACTAATGGCAATATTAAACATTAAGAAATGTAGAAATATATAAGATATCAAGATATTTTCAGAGGCTTGATGGTATAGTGGGAGAACAACTGGGTAGTTCAGTATAGGTAGTCTTAACTACTGGGAGACCTGAATTTTATCCTTGGCTCTTTTACAAGATTTGTCTGTGAACATGGCCGATTCATTCAATCCAGTTGTAGCTCAGCTTTCTTCCTTCTCAAAAGGAAAAGTTTAACTAAGGAATTAGGTTTGCAATGTGCTTTTCACAAAACAGGATTGAAAGTGCAAAGCCTCACTGCAAACATGACCTGATTCCAAATCTATGCTCAGAAGCAGGGAGAGTTTTCACTTCTCACTAGTAATTCCTGAAGGTGATTGTGTGGTTATCCTGGGCAGATTGCCACTTGCCAGTGAGAGGGTAGTGTCATCATGTTGTGAAGAGAAAAGAAACTGATTACCTTATTTTTTACAAAAGGTGGAATAGAGAATTTAAAGATCCTGCTAGTGTGGTTCACTAGCATACAAAAAAAAAAAATTAAAAGATAAATGTATATTAAAAGTATAAAATTGGTGATTCTTGCTATCTGTAAATCAGTAGCAGGTCCTATCTCAGCTGTGTCAACTGCTGACTGTCATTCTGAATAGAACAGTAGTTATTTCAACAAAAATACAGGTTGGACTACAATGGTTGATGTTTCTCTTCTTGTGGTATGTTTCAGGCTAACCGTGATGCTGTACTGAGCAGAATACCAGAACACAAAAATGATCGTATCATCAGTTTGCAAAGTGCATCCGTAGTCTACGATTTACTTACAATAGCTTTGGGAAGAAGAGGCCAGTATGAAATGCTCTCAGAGGTTTGTCAATAATAGTGAATATTCAACTGTGTTTTCATTGCTTATTTCAATTTATCAGATATAGGACACTGTCATTCTGTCTACTGTATAAATACAGTAGGCAGTTTCCACGCCAAAAATTTTACTTTCTGAATTTATACAAGTGACTTGAGTCGGTTAAGTACAGAAATTGTGTGAAAGGTGTGGCAAATGTTTAATGGCACATGTTTTTTAGATGGGGAGGCTTGGATCTGCTTAAATGGAGAGAGTGGGGAAGGAATGGCAAAAGATGAAAGCTATCATGGATATAAATGATAGATACAAATATCTAGAAAAAGAATTTGTGACGTTTTGTTTCAAAAGAAAACTTTTTTTTTCACTTCATAGTGTTTGGAGTGCTCCAGAGTCCTCGTAGTTTATCAAGTCACTTTGAAGTTAATAAAACAGTAATTTTTGGTTTTTTAGGTCTGTAGGAAAGTGTATTCTCCATCTCACCTATCATGTGTTTGATTATGCAACTTGCGTGTTGTAGGAAGGCATGTCCAGGGATTGATTTACTGAGAAATGGTTTCTCTCTACTATAACAGGGGACTTCAGTTAAAATAAAAATGGGACAAAAAAAAAAAGTGCCCCTTTTTTTTTTTTAGATAAATATTGATAGTCATCCTTTAATGTGCATCTCTTGTGATGTTTAACTCTTAATTTCGGTATTCTTGAAAAGACTCGTAGCTGCACCTTATGTGTACAAGTCAGCTTCAATCAGTACCGTACAAAGTCTTTCGCAAAACTAAGGATTATGAAGACTCATACAGCCTGTAACCCTATAACATAATTTAATCAGGAATATTTCTGTTTACTTGCCACTATGGGCACTGTTTACTTCATGGAATTTTAGATGGTTGCACCAAAGCTGCAAGAGATGGCTCTCCAAATATTTTAGTCCAGAACTTAGTATATATCAGCAAGTATTGTAAAAAAAGCTTGAAAAGATAACATTTCTTTTTTCTTTAAGCAGCTGGCAACCTTTCCTTTTTATATACTAGCCTAGTAACTAGGCTGGAGTTGTGAAGCTTAGGGTTGGGTTCCAATTCTAATTCTTCTATTTTGTCTTTTAAACATTAAAACAAGCATTACGTTAATGGGAACGTCAGAGGTTCCTGGGATTCCTTCACTGCCTCCTTTGGGACACTTTGGGTAGTGTTTACCCAACTTCTCATTTGCAATTCTTCTTGCTTTTCTTAGTAGAGAAGTTTTTTTTGACTTCACCAGGAAAGTTAGAGATATCTCTGTTCTTCATCATGTGTCAGGACATTACCCTGAAGGGCAGGAGGAGGGTGTTAATAGTCCACTCACATTGAGAGGAACATGGAAAGTTAAAGAGCCTTCATGTTTGACCAGCTTCTGAATTGAGAGGTTTTAGCCACTGCATTGGGCTTTGACATCTGAAGTCTACCTAAGGCTTGTTTCAAGATCTTTTCTTGTTCTTTTTTAATCTAAGTCTAGCATCTTTGTAATTATATTCCATGAAAGTTGTTTGTATGTTCTTTTGAAATGTTCTCTTTGAAAAATAGAAAATAATTCTTTTATTCTTGAAAAATACTTTTCCATACAGAATAATTAAAATGTATATATTATAGGTCCATGAAATATCTATTCGGAACATGAAAAAATCGTCTTATGAAGACCTGATATAATAGGCAATACTTATTTTAGCATGGAGATACTCTCTATTTACAGCTGCAACAGGAACTCATCAGGAAATGGTTAAAACAGTAGAAAGTAATTCGTTTTGCAGTCATTCGTTTTCCAGTTCTTGTCGTCCAAGGCACAGTGGAAAATAAGAAGGTCTTACAGTTCATTGAGTGGTTAGAGGGTATTTGCCCTCAAATCCTGTGGTCCATAGTCTGAAACTTTTATGATTTAAACTATTACAGTAAACACAGATTCAGAACTGCAAAAATGTTCTGTTCAGTTACATAATAGGCATATCATTTTTTGCTGGCTTCGTTCTCTATGAGCTAATTATGGTTGCTCTAGTGGTGCTGTTGTATCTTCAAGTCAGAAAGCTCCATTTTTCTGACTGTGGAAATGGTATTCACCCATTAGGGTGAATCTTGTTCTCATTTTCTGGTTTAGCTGTAACATTACTTAAAGAAGTAGTTAGTTGTGATTCAAGAACGTTAAATGATCACAAATCTGTCTCATCCATGCTATTTTTTGTAATGCTGAGTCATGTTCTTAATTGAAAAGGGCTCGTTTGTTTGTAGAGTTCGTATACAGCAGGCTTTCAATTTCTTATAGTTTCTTCAACTAGATCAAAGAACTTTCTACTGTCATATTTTTTTCCTAAGCAAAAGTACTCTGACTGTCATCAAGTTGATTTTTAAGCTTTGAAGGATATGACATACTGAGCTTATCAATGTCCTGCTAGGAGAGATGTTTTCCATACCAGAAGTTTTCCTAGATACTAATCTTTCAACTCTCTAACTTCAAGCATATTCTTTGGAGAAGGAGACTATAGTGCCAAGCAGCAAAAGTTAGTAATGCAGTCAACGTTACCTGTCCATATAGCAATTTGTAATTATTTACAGGGCAGTATGAGCAGTTGCCTTTCTGCCTTTCAGGAGAGGGATTGTCCTAAATCTGTTTTCAAGTCGTGAAGTGAGTTGCCATTGTCCTGAACATTATCTTAACTTGCAGTTTTCTCAAGTACTATAGCTTGTTATGATTTCCTGATGGAGCCTCTTGCTCTTGGAAATTCCTTGCTGTTACTTGGTTCAGAAGAACCCAGTTTATGAGGTGTTCATGTTGTTATGTAGGTCACATAAATGTATATGGACGTACGTCCCTTACCCTCACACATCCTGACCACCAGTTTTATTATCTTAGAAGGAGGAATAGTTATGTAACTAGTCACATTTCGTTCTGAATGAAACCAAATAACTAGAACTTGAAGTCAAGGAAAAAGAATGGTGAATAGCTCATTAGTATGTTGAAACTCAAGCCTTTTAGAATAGTCTCTAATTGTGTCCTTTGTCCTTCTAATTAAAAATTATAAAAACCTAAGCTATCGACTTCTTCAACTTCTTTATTTTCTGCCAGTTAGAAGTGACAATTAATTTTTAATTAAGCAAGGTCTAGAAAAGAAGATTTTTATTTTTCTAATAATAAGTACCTCTATATAGTTAATGCACATGTCTATGTATATGAATATGTATAAATGGGATAAAAAAGTATAATTAGGCAGCCTATAAAATTACAAATATGCTTTGGTTCTGTGCACCACCACTTTGTGTGAATCTCTGACATTATACAGCTGATATAGTTAAATCATAATTAAAACACTGGTATCAAAACAGGTAGAGAGAGTTGTATTTGAAGGTGTAATTGACAAGAGAAGCCTGAATTCATTCTCCTTCATTTAGAAGCACCCAGGTTGGCACCAGAGCTGTACTAATTACTAGAGAGAAAGAGAGATTTAGCAACTTTTTTGCCAAGTTCATGGAGGGACATGGAAGAGTGTGCCTTACCTAGGCATCTCTGCAAAGTATCCAGAGTAAAAGGAGAAGACATCACACAAAACGCACTCATTCGTTTCTTGCTGTGATCTTTTTGCTTCCACTGAAGGAGAGGAAGTCCAGTGGGAAAACAAATCTTGTGTTGGTTTACTTAACAGATACTCGATTAACTTCCTACACGTACAGTCTGATGATGTCCTTTTAACAACAGTATTAGAAAGAATTTATTTTTGGAAACTTTATTCCTTTATAATAATTTAATAGAAATTCTGTTTAGTAGTAGACTTAATACTGGACATTGTAGTAGGAAAAGATCTAGCATGCTTTACTTACGCGTAATGAATAGTTCATGTCTCGTATTTGTTTTGTTTGATCTTCAGTGCTGTTCTTTGCTTCAGGTTCTGTTAGAGTGTGGGAACATGCTACACACCTGGCTGTGCTTTCTGTAATGTTAAGGCTGAGTTTGAATGTGAAAATTAATTAGCGTATATATTGTAACTATCAGAGCAGAAAAGCTACTTCATGCAATTGAACTCTGCAGACTATAAAGTTAATTGCTAAATCAGTTTAATCCAGAGAGGTGTTGCACCTTTCAGCTCTCTGGAGCTGACCTTATTAGTAAAATTGAGCATAGAAAAATTAAATAGTTTATTGACAACAGCAGATACGAAACTTTCAAAATTAGCATATAATGCTAATTTAATATGTTTAGTCTCAGTATAGTAATAATGAATTTCCTTTGGACATTCAGTTATTACATTAAAAATCTCAGCAGCAGATTGAGTGTGCAGTTAAAATTTGTTAAAATAAAAATAATACCATCAGATGACAACTCACTCCCGTCTTTACCCCCCAGCTCTTTTAAGTGGTGATGATAAGTACTTGTGGTGCCCATTGCCTGTTAAATATTCATAATTTAGGAAGAGCATGTGTACAATTTCCTTTTTGTGGAAGACCTATCTCTGGCCTTCTGCAGCTGGTACCTGCTGGTACCTTGAATGATTTAATTTTTAATTACATGTATTTTGGGTGTGAGTCTGTAGGAAAGTTTTTATACTAGAATGTCTTCGTAATAATTGAAAAATGTGTCTTCAACAATTTTCTTCCCATGCTTAGTGTTTAGAAAGAGCCATGAAGTTTGCATTTGAAGAATTCCATCTCTGGTATCAATTTGCATTGTCCTTGATGGCAGCAGGAAAAGTAAGTCTTAATTTTTTGATGTAATTCTTCTATTGATGACTTTTAATAACAACATTTGGCACTTCATAATTTTCAACTATAGTGTTTTGGAAAATTATTCTAAACCTTAAATCAGGTAAATACACTGTACTCCTGAATTTATGCCTAGTGCTTTACAAAGAATATTGTTATTTCAATAGTTTCTAAGTTAGTAAGACTGAAAGGTGATGATAAGAACTATCTTGCCAACAAGCTTAATTAAGCTAAGCTAACTGAATACAATTATTAAATTATACCAGATCATATTATCCAGTAACAACCTGTTTAAGTGCTGTTTTGATGAAGAAGTTTTATGCCTAGGTACAAATTAATGCTGTTTCATGATTCTCTTGCTTTTTTTTCCCCTTTGGTCATTTGTGATTGTGTCTTTTTGTAATATTACTGTCTTTGAGACTGTGTATTCTGTCCAATTAAAGTGAGGTGGATTTTCTTTATTTATTTTGTATAACCCAGGACCTTATGTTATCAGATGCAATTTTCTATTTTCAGTTTCTTTTGCTTTTCTCTGTCATGTTATAGAAAATAAATCACATTCTTAAATAATTAACAACAATTTTCTAAAAGATAATTCTCAGTGGGGGTAATTTCCTCATCTTCAGTATGGAGGAAAGAAACGATTTGTGTTTTCTTTAGAAAATATTTTTAGAAGCACATTGGTTCTGAAGAAGCTTGGTTCTTCTTTCTACTCTCTGATTTGCTTTGAGTTATCTTCTAAATTGTCCTTGTATGGAGCCAAATGAATTTAAAGAGGAGGAGCAGTCCTGTTATACAATCTTATATGAGAGCTCTTCCTAAGAGCTGTTGTAACTCCCAAAAACTGAAACAGTTTATTTTGAAGACTCTGTCCTGTTCCTGTACTTTCCTTTGCCTGGCTCAGATATTTTGAGCTTACGAGCCTAGCAAAGTTTTAACTGCATCTCAGAACTGTTTTCTGAATCATGTGCCCTTAGAATTGGACAAACATTTCACTGGGGATGGGGACAGTTAGTGATAGTTCCATAGGGGTTAAATAACAACAGCAGTGCCTCAGTTCTGGTGTTTCACTTGCATGAGGAGTTGTGACAAAGTGTCAGCAAAATATTTAGTAGTGTCTCCTTCACATCGGAAAAATAAGGTAAATGATGGAAGTTCTAATCTTCTATATGTGAAACGTATTTATACTTTTAGTAATTTCAGTGGAAAATGTTTTTAACAGTCTGCTCGAGCTGTTAAAGTCTTGAAGGAATGTATACGTTTGAAACCAGATGATGCAACTATTCCACTCCTTGCTGCAAAGCTCTGTATGGGTTCTCTCCACTGGGTAAGCTTTGCCACTCTTTGTCTTTTCAGCAAGAGCTGTGCTGCAGTGCAAAAAAATCTTGATTTAGGGATGTAGCAAATATTTTGCACAGTAGTGACATGCACTTGGTCACATATATGCACATGCACATCCCTGTTTGCGTAGCTAGTTTAAAGTATTTGACGGCTATACTTAGGTTTATCAAGGTAGTATATCCTGATAGTGATCTAAGACATAGCTAAAAATGTATTAGAAATTAAAACGTTGGCATACAGAGATTTAAAGTGCAACCTAAACTACTACTTCCTTTGTGCAAGAGGAAAATAACATTTTTTGGAAGGTAATGAGACAAATCTCTTATATTCAAGAGACTCTTCTGGTGGTACTGTGGTTGCGGGCTGCTGGGGTTTATGAATTCCTAGTAGGGACAGAGTCTTTTTAAAAAGTGTTACGTAAGTTGGATTTTAGATAACTTAAAAAAATTTATATCTATACAAAAAACATCAAGGTGACAGAAGATCATCTTATGGTTTTCAAGATACATGTGTAATTTTTGGAAGAATGAGTCTATTTTAAAAAGGAGTGGAACAAGAGGGAAAGGTTCACAACGAAAAATTGAGAAAGTAGTGCAGTAGCAGCTACATGACTTGCTGAAGCTGGGAAAAATACAATCTTAATTAACATAGATCTTAATTCTGTAAATTGTTCCCTGTATATTGACTCCATATGGAGTAGCTTACTGTACTTAGCATTTTCATTAACTGGAATGAATTTAAGTGTTAGTTTTTTTCTTTCTATATGGCTAAATGATTGACTAGCATGGATGTGCAGTTAAACCTTTATCTTTTATGTGTTTATTTGTGAGTTTGCATACATTTAGCAGTCCTATATGTGATGCAGAGTTCTATATGACTACACATTTTTGCAGAGCTGGAGCCATAGTTCTTATAACTGATTCTCCTAAGAAATGGTTCAGGGGCAGGAACTCTGTTTATGAAATGTAAAAATGGTAGATGGCATATATGGACCAGAAATGCCTTTTTAAAAAAAAAAAAAAAGATAAAACCACAGTAATTTTAGAGTGATCTGTGTGTATGTGCCAGAATTTCCCACAATCATAGAAGTGGGTACTTCAGCTTAAAATCTGTTTTCTTCACTCAGTATTTAGCAGGAAAACTAGTGAAAAATGAAATAATCTTTATAAGCAGTCATGGCTGAGAATTCAACAGATTCAGTGGGCATAAGACACACTGTGTGTTCTTCTCATTATACTGTAATATTTAGCTAGTTTTAGACTTACATGGGTGTTTTATAATATTTTCAGTTGGAAGAAGCTGAAAGATTTGCCAAAACCGTTGTTGATCTTGGGGACAAAACATCAGAGTTCAAAGCAAAAGGCTACTTGGCACTGGGATTGACCTACAGTCTGCAGGCTACTGATGGTAAGATAGTAATAAATATTCACATTTGGAAATTCCCTTCTTATCTAAAAAAAGGTTACCTAGGAGAATTCTAGACTAAAAATTAAAGCTTCTGTGCACAACCATTATTTTCAGTCAATGTATTAAAACTTATTCAGTGAGCATGTGGAATATGTCTCTTGAACTTGCGGATCACTGATTAAATATATCCTTTTTAGCATCTTTGCGAGGGATGCAGGAGGTCTTGCAGAGAAAGGCTCTTCTTGCATTTCAGAGGTGAGTGGGTGTTAATCTTTTCATTTCACTCTGCTATATGTAGTGAAAAGCTTTTATTATGTGTTAAAAAGAGAGACTTGTAAAAGATTGTGTAATGAGGATTTCACCTCTGGGAGTCTCCCTTCGCAAGTACAAATGTATTTCTTTAGCATTTACTTCATGTTCTGTCAGAAATATCTGAATTGATTTCTAAGGATTTCCTTTTATTTCATTTTAAAGACATTTGTGCTGCTCTCTAGTACAAAATATTTGCTCAAAGGAGTATTCTGTTCTGATCTAGAAGGGAAAATCATGTGATGCAAGGTTCCAAGTCATGCTTCCACGTGAGTATGTTTCTAGAAAAGTTGGTTGCTGCTCAGATTGTACAGCAGGTTTTCAAACTTGCCTTTATGGAGACAGCAATAATTGAGGCTCTGCAACTGTGTATAAGGGGTGAAATGCAGGCAGTAAGGTAGGGGGAAAGAAATCTCTTTTATCCAGAGATTCAACAGCGTGGGCTTTGACAGCACAAATGCCTGATCTTCCAAGTGCCTCACACAGAAGTAGCGCTGTTGCGCATGACTGTAGTTCATTCTCAAGGGTTTGTACCTGCAAACGAAATGACGATAAACAAGTGAACGGGAACATCTTCACCCTAATTGTCAAAGAAACAAATCTGGATGGCAAAGCTGGCAGGAGTGCTCTAGCGTCTAAATACATCTCTTTTTGTGTTTATATAACCTTGAAAACCGTACTGCCGTGAGATAGGCCTGCATGTCTCGGGAAAACTGGTTTGTTTGTTAATGTGGATATGAAGTCTCAGATTTTTGTTAGTAATTTTATATTTGAGGGGATACGGTTGAAATAGTGTTTTACAGGTAACTTGAGTGAGGCTGGTATGTACTGGTCCTTCTGTTTTATGTCTTATCTTAACCATTCCTCTGTATGTAAATGCATTTTAACATGTCTTTGCTCTTTCTGTTCCTTAATGGTTTTACTAGTTCTTTTATTACTTCAGCATTCTTTTCTCCATGTTGGAACTGAACTAACTCCTGGTTTATACCTCAGTTCCTCACTCATCTCTCTTACTGCTGACTTAATCATCACTATTTCAGAAATACTATCCGAACCATTTCTTGCCATTTCTATCCATTTGCTACTGTTGAGCTTTCAATAATGAGTTGCTTTCTTCTGCTGATTCTTGGATATAGCAAGGGATGAAATGAACCCCAGCCTGAAGCCTCCAGTTCAGTGCTTGCTGATTCTACTCTCCAGTTTAGAATATATTCTTAGAATATATTATTAAAATATATGATTCCCAAAATTCTGAGTCATTTCCTACTATCAATCTGTCTGGAAAATTGCCATTTTCTGAGGGTTGAGGTTGTGCAGTGTTTTGACAACCTGTATATATGAGGATGCTTTTATAGGTAGCATACTGCTTATTGTGGTAATATTTTATTAGATTGCTCTAGAAGAAGAGCAGTTTAAGTTAGAAGAGAAAAAACAATATGCAGTACGTTAGGAGAACTGTTTTTCAAATGATATTCAGCTTCTTATTACTGTGAAATTACTCTTTCACACACTCTATTCATGTCTTGTTCCGTGGTTGTGTGTTATGTCATCTTTCACCCAGGAACATTTCTGTTTCATTCTCTGCAGCTGAGCAATGAGTCTCTTGATACGTTCTTAACTGTTCAGTTTTGAAGACTTCCTAGCAGCAAATAGTGCCAGCTGAAATGTGAAAGTGTATCTAGCATCTCTTCAGTGAACCACTACAGCTGTCCTTCAGCTCTATAGGTTGAGTGGAACTTCAGTTTTGTATTGATAAGGAGCACTGAAATATTTGTGCTAACTGACAGAATATAGACTTATACACAAGATCTTGGGAACGTGAGAATTAATTTCATCTGCTTTCTCTACATCTTTCATGATGCTTTGGGATTTTCTGTGTTCTTTTGTTTTTCCCCACTTGGTTCAACCTCCTAGAAACAAAGTTTTTGTATTTTTAAGTGCATGTTCCAGGGTATTGATGTTAGATTATGTGTTCATCCTTTCTTCTGGCTTTTCTCAGCATGAACTTGTACACAGGCTTTTAATTCAAGTATCTTTTGGAGGTTTTAGTAACGTGCAGGGTGTATGTTTTGAAAACTCTAGTGAATTGTTAGTATTGCTGTTAGTGATACTGCTAATATGAGTAGCTTGGACTCCACACAGGAGAGTTTCTGCATCTCAGAAATCCCATAGCTACCTTCTAAGAGAAGGGAAAAAGTGTATTTTGCAAGGTGATTGTTCTGCATGTTAGCACGTTTCCCTGCTTGCTTTCATAGAGACACTCACACTGGATAGATCAGCTGTACTAGAAATACACTTCAGTGTGGTTGATAATATTACTGCTTCCCTATCAATGCTATCAGTGTTATCATGCTTTGTGTCATTATGCTTCCTTGCATTGATAACACTACGTATAGGATGTTACCGAAAACTTGTTACCACAGAGAGTGCGTTATGCTCAGCATACCAGAGTTACGCCCTTTTTCTCTTCTCACACCTTCAAAATAAACATTTTCCAGGAGGTAGAAGCTGAAAGTTCCATTCAGCTCCTACACAGTTTATAAAGCAAGCAGCTGTACTGGACTCAGTATTTTGATGTGCCAAGTTTTTTTTGTTTGGGGATTTTTTGTGAATTTTTAATCCTAGAAGACCAAATCCTGAAGTAATAGAAGTCAAATATATTTTGGACTCTTGCCTATGTCACATTTCAAGGCTAACAGTTTGTGATAGTGGGCATTTACAAAGGTGCTTGTTGCCATTTTCGCATGGTGCTGAGGGCATACTTGTGTCACTAACTTTTTATTATTTTTATTTTGGAAGACTTTCAGTGCTTTTCCCCGGGGTTGGTGTGAATTGATGTTTCACAGAACTCACCAAATGGTTGCTAGATAGTAACAGCTTTACTCTTTCACTAGCTGAAGCTTGAGTGGCTGGAGAAGTACTCTTTGAATTAAAAACTCTTGATTTTGGTTAGTCTTGCTTAATTTGTGAACTAAAATTAAAAAAAAAAAGGCCTGATCCTGGACCCTGTTAGGCTTTATATTTGACTCTAATCTCAAATTTAGAGGTATAGTTAACAAAATATGAAACTGTCCTCTAATAATTCAGACTGCTTTGATACCTGTTGAGTGTAGCTGCTAAACTAATGGAACTGTCTCTTTGGACTTGGGAAGAAAGAAATGCAGAAGTCAGAAGCAGAAGGTTCCTTTTGCGGTTGTAATGGCTTAAAAGTTAGTTTTGTTTCTCCCTCTCAATGGAGACGACTCATTAGATGTTCTTAAGACGTTTATTACACATCCTATTTCTAAATCAGCCTCCTTTGAAAGAATGCAAATTTAAGTAGAAAAAATAGTTCCAGGCTTGCTGCCCTGTATTTACTACGCATCATTTTGGAGTATGGCCATAATTTTTTTTGTCTTTATGCTCAAGCATATATCTTCCCCCTGCCCAAGCCATATCTTGCAGTAGACAGATTGTATTGCAGGGGAAAACAGTAGGGTGTATTACAAGAACATGTTATGTAGGATAAGTGTCAAAATGAAGAAGACATAAGTGTGTGCATTTGGCAAAAACATTAAAAACAAAATTTCAGAAAATGGTGGGAATTTTTTTTCTTTGTTTTAGTAATTGGGGTTACTTGCAACAGCAGTAGTTACAAATATTTTGAGAGTGAATAATCACAGAACCCTGCTGCTATTGGGCAGCTCAACATTTTTGTGGACAAAAAGTTAGATTTATAAAACAGTCATCAACATAAACTTCTTCATCTGAACTTCAAACACAAGCTCATGGTGAGACAGACCTTATGCTGCCTTTTACTATAATGCTGTAATAAAGAAGCCATCCAGCCTAGATTTCTTTTCGTTGCTACGTAGCCAGGTGCTCTGCTCTCAGAGCAGCTCAAAACCAAGGAGTGACTGGCTTCTGAGGCCATTTAGTGTGCTGGACTGAGAATGTGCTTAAACTTTGGGAGTCTGAAGGAAGAACAAAACTCTGATCTAATTTGCTGCTGCTCTTCCTGTTTGAGTTCTGTGCTTTAGAACCATCCTGGTCAGGGTCGGTGCCATTGCTTCGGTACTTCTCATGCAGATGACATAATTCTTCCCTTTGAAGACATGTTGTTTGGGGGGATTTTTTAGGTTTTGGGGATTTTTTTAGTTTTTTTTTCCTTTCTTTTTCTGTAAGAAGCTCTGTTTAATGATTTTTTTATTATAACTCTCTAATGGCCCAAAGTGCTTCCTTTAAATCAGGGATGATATATGAAATAGGAGCATACTTGTAGTGAAGAAATCTAAATATGGATACATGAATATATCTGCATTTGTGTGTGTGTCTAACATGTATTAATGGGAAAGAAATCACTGGTTTTTGTTTTGTTTCTTTGTTTTTAAGGGCTCACAGTTTGTCTCCTACGGATCATCTGGCAGCATTTTACTTGTCACTGCAGCTTGCAATATCCAGACAGGTTAGTTGTGGTTTAAAAGTGCAGCCTCACACTGTCATATGAAGATTAGAATTTGTAGCTATTGATGGATATGGATGAAGATTTCTTTAATAAAAACCTGTTTTTTCTTGTGTATCTATATGAAAAAAAAAACCCACCTGAAATATTCTTTCTGAACACCTTTGGTCTTGTATGCTTCTCTAGAGTTCTGCAGTATGTCCAGCTCTAGGATCAGAGATAACACATAATCATTCAGTTTATTTGTTTCAGCATTTATATTGCTGAACATTTATGTCGTTATGTGGAATGTGGGACTCTTGAATCTAGTCTTTAGTGATCCTGACAGTGCTTAAATCTTGCGAGTCTGCTAAAATCCATGCCTTTTTTTGATGCTTGAAGGACGTTTGATTATTGTGAACAAAATTACAAAATTCTGTTTAAAAAAACTGGAAAGTATATTAAAGCTGTGAAACAGATCAGAGCTCAATCCAACTTGTACAGCTCTTAGGTTTAAGGGATTTGGGATTCTGCCACGTATGCCATGAATTTGGATAATGTGAAGCTACTTTGTATATGTCACAGTGAGCCTTTTCCTGTGTCGTGTTTTTTTTAGGAAGTAGCTCTGAGAACGGTAGTTTACATGCTCTAGATGACTACTTCTCATTGCTAATGAGTAGCAAAGACATTGGACTATGTAACACTACCGTGGCATGAACTGTAGCTTTAATAGCACAAACTGTTTTTCGGTAGCAGTCTGTGACTCTGTACTTCTGAATTCCAAACTTCTCGTGTTGCTTAATTACATTTCCTGGTTTCAACACTTAGTCTACTTACTTTGAGCAAAAGCACATGCAGCTGAGCAGATAATGAAATCCCATATGAATAAAACTTACTGTTGCAGTCTAGCTGTAGATGTTAGTTTATGTATTACAATTAAAATACTTTGAAAATTATATAGAAATAAAATTAATTGTTGAAAAAGAATAGCAAGTGAATATTTTAAAGGGCTTAAGAGAACTGGGTTTTTTTTTAATATGTTAACTATAGAGCGTCAGGTCCATTTTAAACTTTTGAGTAGTGTCTTACAGGAGTCTGTAGAAATTCTGTATGTTATCCAGGTGAATATTTGGAAAAATTTATGGATGTGCAATCAAGTAATAGGCAATTTTTCTAATAGCGGTGCTTTCTTTTCTGCTATTTTTTTAATCAGATACCAGAAGCTTTGGGTTATGTTCGTCAGGCTCTGCAGCTACAAGGAGATGATGCCAACTCTCTTCATCTCCTTGCACTCTTGCTATCAGCCCAGAAGCACTATCATGATGCTTTGAATATCATTGATATGGCCTTGAGTGAATATCCAGAAAATTTTATGTGAGTGAATGTCATGTTTGCTTTCTACGCTTTCTCTCATATTTATTTTTCTTAGATTCTCATCTCATTCATCTCAAGAGTGGATGGATTTGAAGATTGTTGGGTTTTTTTCCAACAGTCTTCCCTCCTGCCCATTTAATGCAAGTCTGCTTTTTATTGAAGGCTTGTTAAATAGCAAATAAGAGTTTGGTTTTGGAAGAGAGGCTAGAACTGGATGGTTGATCTTGCTTTGTTTTTTCTACAGACACTTTATTTAGATAATTTCTCCCTGTTGCATGCTTTAGAGTATTTTTCTATCTTCTGGTTTTATGCAGTATTCTAAAAAGCATTAACAGGAATTTACCATTGGCTAGGATAGATTTCTCCCATCCCACAGATAACTATGCATATTGTATGGAATCTGTTCTGTAAAGTGCATCATAACATAGAATCTCCTCTTTTGCTTGTATAATAACTGGTCATCTGAAGTTGGCTGATGGATAATTAAAGTGAACAAGATAGATGACAACTGACATATCAGTTACCTAATTCTATATGCTATTATTGTTAAAACCAGATATGTTCAAAGCAGTGTGATCTGTCATTGTCTGTCCCTTGTTTCATCTTCTGCCACTTAGTGGCAATGTAAATGACAAAGAAGAAACTACTGTATCTCTCAGAATAATAAAAATCTAGAAGTAGTATTTCTGAAACTGCAGTACTCCCTATTGTAATACGAGAACAAAGGATCATTCAGTAAAATGTTTAAAATTCCTCTTGTGACTCAGATTTTCAAATATGTTTAATGGCCTTTCCATCCTTGCTTATAACTGCATCTTGTGGTTAAACATGTTGCCTGAGTTGTTTTTAAAAGTACTTGTCTTTCTATTGATGTATGTAAGTATATTAATCATATGGGTCGTAATAGTAGTTCTGAATTGTTATTCCTGTTGCATAATAAAAACACCATGGTGGGCCCAGACCTGTTTAACATTTTCATCAATGATTTGGACAAGGGGATAGAGTGCACCCTTAGTAAGTTTGCACATGACTCCAAGCTGGGTGGAAGCGCTGATCTGCTTGAGAGTAAGGAGGCTCTGCAGAGGGATCTAGACAGGCTGGATCGCTGGGCCAGGGCCAATCACATGAATTTCAAAAAGGCCAAATGCCGGGTCCTGCCCTTTGGCCACAACAACTGCCGACAGCACTACTGGCTTGGGGAGAAGTAGCTGGAGAGCTGCCAGGCAGAGGGACCTGGGGGTGTTGACAGACAGCCGGCTGAACATGAGCCAGCAGTGTGCCCAGGGGGACAAGAAGGCCAACGGCATCCTGGCCTGGATCAGGAATGGTGGTGTCAGCAGCAGCAGGTGCCCCTGGACTCAGCTTTACCTCGAGTACTGTGTCCAGTTTTAGGCCCCTCACTACAAGAGCGACACTGAGGTGCTGGAAAGGGTACAGAGGTGGGCTGCCGAGCTAGGGAAGGATTTGGAGGAATGGCTGAGGGATCTGGGGCTGTTTATCCTGGAGAAGAGGAGGCTGAGGGGAGACCTTATCGCTCTCTACAACTACCTGAAAGGAGGCTGTAGCAAGGCGGGTGTTGGTCTGTTCTCCCTAGTGGTGAGTGATGGGATGAGGGGAAATGGCCTTAAGTTGCACCAGGGGAGGTTCTGGTTGGATATTAGGAAGAATTTCTGTACTGGAAGTGTTGTCAGGCATGGGAACAGGCTGCCCGGGGGAGTGGTTGAGTCTCCACCCCTGGAGGTGTTTAAGAGAAGGGTAGATGTTGTGCTGAGGGACATGGTTTAGTGGTGTTGATGTGGCTAGGACAAAAGTTGGACTTGATGACATTGAAGGTCTCTTAGGGTCGAAAGTGTTCTGCGATTCCACAGGATACTATGTTACAACCTACTGGTACAGATCAGATAATTTGAGAGGAATTTGTTGGCAGTAGGAATCACCAGCAGATGTGGCAACAAATTGCTGAAGAATTCGAAGTGAAATACAGCTATATTTATCCCTAGAAAATCTTTTCGAGTCTTGTTTTTAGTGCTGTCAACTTACTTCTGCTTCCCTGAGATGTCAAGGATATGATTGAGATTCCTTGTATGCTCTCTGCAATTGATACTGACAGCCAGACAGACACATCTGGTCAATAATATGAATTTGGATTGATTCCTTCATGTAACTAAGTTATTTTTGCATTTATCAGCAAAACCTTAAGTTTGCAGTCTGTTCCTGCACGCCCTGTCTGGTGCTCCTGAAATGGTTGACAGTGTGTATGTGCTTATATATAAAATATAAACCACAAATGCTTGGTATGTCATTGATTCAATTTTCATATTCTGCAACTTTGGTAAACAATACAGTACTTCTTAGCAGTCTTGGGTTCCTAAAAAGCTTGCTAATTTTTAGGAATTCTGAAACATTTGCTTATTCGTCTATGGTACTTAATTGGCCTTTGTAAACACATCAAATACCATTATGTTTTATGTTTTATCTTTAAGTTATAGCTACAATCCTAGTAAGCTAGCTAGTACAAGAGTTTCTTTGATATTCTCTGTATTTCTGTTAGAATCTGTTAACCTTATGCAAAATGATACTTCCGTGACTTTGCAGCTTAATAAATCTCTACTTGGGAAATACCGAAGTAAAATATAGGGCTTGTGATTTATGTTATTTCTTGTATCTTTTATGATTATTCTAATCTGCATACCTCTATGGTGTTATTGCATTGCTTCACTGAGTGCTTTCCTGCCCTGTTAACAGCTGTATCTTGTTTTTGTTTTGCTTTTCTTTGAAAAGAATCTTAAATTTGAGAAGTTTATAATACTACATATTTGTAAAATGCCAGAGGTTGCAAGGAAGTCACAGAATACTCTGTGAGTCATGCTGAGAAATGGATATTTTCCAGCATTCCTCTGTTTTAATCAATTAGTAAATATGTTGTCTGTCAGTTTTTAACATTTGAAAGTCTGTGTTCCTAGAATTCATATTCAGTAGTTGAGATGTACAGCAAGCATACCTAAGCAAGACACTTAAATTAATGTTAACCTTCCTGCACTATAAAGCTAGAAAGTTGCTGAACGAACATGACCAGTCAGATAATGATTTTGTTCTGTGCGTCTCTAGGTCGGTAAGTAGACAGAAGTTCCTCAGAACCCAAGATTTCTGTCCCGTCATTATCTAAAGGGGTGGAAGGATTGAGCAAATACCACATTTTGCTGTTAGGAGCAAGGTATAGCTTTTTCTTTGAATAGAGAGTTGATTGTTCTTCATTTTTTTTGTTACTTTGGCAGCATAAATGTGCAATCTGCTCTGAAACTTTAGGGGTGTTGGCAAAACTACGGGTGATAATCTAAGAAACCTCTAAAAGTGAAATAGGTATGTAGTAATGCTTTCCAGAAATACTCAAAATGCAAGATATTTGCTGAATATCTATCGCACTCTCAGTTCAAACTTTTTGTAAGCTTAAAAGGCTAGATTGTAACCACTCTACTTATAAACAAGTTAGCTGTGTTTTTCAGAGTGATACAATCAATCTACGTTTCAATGCTAGCTAACCTCTGAAGCCTCTCGAAATCTGAGAGTGCTTTGATCCAGGGTCAAAAAGATCTGTAGGGCCTAAGATTACGGAAAAGATTTTAAATACCCTGATTTGGTGACATGGGTGGGAGTAAGGTGCCAACACCAAAATAATCTGAGTAATTAATCTCAGTCAGATCCTACTGCATTTGAATTTATTTGAAGTTGCACTGTTTTTTCCCCCACAGTTATTTAGACAATTTATCCTGGTAGTAGAAATGTGAAGTTCAGTTCTCCTCCAGCTTGACAGGATTTGAACCTACAGATGATACAGCTCAGAGCCCCAACCATCAAACTATGTGGGAGACTGGGTGAGATGATCCATTTCCCTTGAAACAGAAGCAGGGGCATGTTGCCCTGAGTGCAGAGAGTAGGCAGGAAGGAGCCACAATGTATCCTAAATTACATAGAGTACTTAACTGTGAGGGAGGCTTAGCTGCTTGGGTTTTCCTTGAATTTTATTTATTTTAGTCCAATGATTGCCTACTCTGAATGTATAAGCAGTCCCAGACGTGTTCATTACAGTCTGAAGGTGTATTCAAGGTGATGCAGGGTAACGGTGGTTGTGTTGCATTGGTTCATACTGGGCTTGTGTTTCCTGTGCAATACATGTAATACTGTTCTGTGTGCCGTTACCCAAGGAGCCTTCTTTACAAACTCCTTCCCGTGACTCTCTCCTCTCTTTTTATGTACTTGTTATGAGGAATCTATATTGTAGTGGTCTTTTGAATTATATGAAATCTTGAAACAACACTTCTGTCTGTTTCTACGTCAAAAGTAGATTCTCAGTCAAGGGAGAGAGAATTAGATTTCTCAGTGAAATACTTGTGATACTGTTTTCTTCATCTTAGCTGCTTGATGTTCCCTCATTATTTCAAGTGTTGGGGCACTTAAAGACAAATACAGTGCCTGAAACTGGTGTAATTGGGCAAAATAAATAATAGATATTAATTGCTAATTTTATACTGAAAACTGAACTGCAGTGGATAACAGCTGACAAGATTTTAAAGTAGCAGAAGTAGGGAGCAGCAGATGGTTTATTTGAGGAGTGCAAGCATGTTATTTTAATGTTAAGTACACTCAAAAAAGAAAGACATATGGTAACAGGTTTGAAGACAACTGAAGACTAAGTTCACAGTTTAAACATTTACATTTGTTGAAGTGCAATAGAAATTTTTTTTCTTCCAAGAATATTTCACAGAAGCATCAGGCCAAAATGTCATTCCTCTGAAAACTATTAAATCCTTTCCTTCCTAACCCCTGTAGCTCTTTTGAGCTACAGTAGATTTTGCAGAATCGCAGAGCCTTCTAGTATCCCTCTTGGTCCATTGATTACAGAATTCTTTCCTCTGGGAGTTGTCGGGGTGGGCATAACAGAAGAGCTGATTGGTACATGCCGTGTATGATGATACATACACTGGTGTTTTGTGGGACGGGGG